CCCCGCACCCCCCCACCCCCGCCCCGCCCTGACCTGACCTGGAGGGAGCAGGCAGGGAAACTGAGCCACGGGGTTAGGGTTAGGAGGTCATAGTCCCAGAAGTTCCCTGTTCCCTCTGAAGGAGGAGGGAGATGGGGATGGAGCGTGGAGGGACCCTTTCCTGCCCCTGGGTGATGTCACAGGAGGCTACAAAGTGTTCAGGTCCAGGCCAAACTGGATGCCAGGCCACAGCCCACCTGTGGCGCTGGTGTAGACCAGTGTGCCTGGCTGCTTGGGGTGACGGGTGACAGTTGGGGTGCTGCCTTATGAAGGACATGGTGCCGCAGCCAGTCATGTGGGAGGCTAGTGACAGTAAAGGACATGGGCTCCAACTCCTCACCCACAGTCCGGCCAGGAAGGAGGTTTGTGGCACCGCCCTTGCAGCGGGGTGGGGGTGGGGGCGCCCTGAAGGCCCCGGCTTCCAGCTCTGCCTGGTTCAAGCGGCGGGTGTGCGGTCTAATCCCAGGAAATCGGGGTGCTGACTGCGGGGAGAGCTTGCAGAGCCGCCTGCTCGGGGGTTTGGGTTCCCAGCTCCGGGCTGCAGTTCTGCAGTCTGCAGCGTCCCCTCCCATCCTATCCTGTCTGCTCTCTCCCAGGCGGGATAAACTTGGGGAATCGGGGTGCAGATTTGGAATGGAGGGGCCACGGCGATGGCCTCAGCCGTTATCTGCTCAGTTTCCATGAGGCACGTCAAGAAAACAACCCGGTAACCGACGTGACTGTGCTTATGCGAATGGCGGGGAGGGGAGGGAAGACGGAGGTGGCAGCGTGTGGAGGAGACGAGGCCCTGCACCCCGGAGCCGGGAGGGGGTGGTGTAAATCCTCACACGGCCCCCTCAGCAAACCGCAGAGAAACCAGCACAGCACAGGGCCCCTGACAAACAGAACCCACAGAGCCAGCGCATAGCCAGGCGACGGGCCCCAGTGTGGTTCCAGGACGGACCCGACCGACAGGACTGGACTGTGGCCGCGGAGTCCAAGCTGCGGGACCAGGGAAGTCTGTGCCTTCTCGGTGCCTCGGGGGCAGCAGCGTCCTGGACAGCGGACACGGGCCCCGGTGGAGCAGCTGTGAGCATCGTGGGCCGGGCAGGTCGTGGTCAGAGGGCCGCTGTCCATCAGGCCGTGGGTCCCGGCGGGGGAAGTCGAGGGAGCCGGAGCCACGGCCAGGCCAGCTCCCTCCTGCCGGCCCATCTCCCCCCAACCAGGTCGGGATGACCACGGCTCCCGCGGTCCCCAACAGCTGGGCCCGGACCGACCACTCCTGCTTCTGCTCAGGATTCGGAACTGGCGCCTCGCAGCCAGCACAGCCTCCCGGCGCCACCTGCAGACGCCGCTGCGCAGCTGCATCGTGCACAGTGACCGCGTGGGTCACCTGCTCCAGCAGAGCACCCAGTCCCCTGACAGCCGGGCACCCCACCCCCACCCCCGCGCAGCTCCCATCCTCTGAAGACCGCAAGGGGGACATGTGGCCCCAGGGCTCCTGGTGGCATCTTCCTGCCTCCCAAGCTGGGCTGTCCCTGAAGAGGGCTTTGAGGAAGACCCCAAGGCACCTGTGCTCAGGTCCAGGCATTATTTGAGCCGATCTGGTCTGAGCCGCAGAGGCCCCGGCTCCACGACATCACCTGCCACGTGAAGCTCCATCTCCACCCACAGCACAAACACCACCGAGGCCGCTGGTGCTGCCGTCCACCTTGTCCACCTCGTGTTCTCTGGAGCCTCCCACTGAGGGCACACGAGTGTACGGGCACGTGCACATACTCAGTCTCACACAGACACACAGGCACACACACGCACACATACACATGCTATTTTTGCCAGCCATCCATGGCATCCCAAACGAGGGAGTGAGGGTGGTGCACATGTGTGCATGTTTACATATGCACACAGTTACACATACATGCATTTACACACATTTGCATGCATCTGTTTACATACACACATTAACATACACATATTTTATATGCACATATTTACATATACACGTATTTATATCTGCATGTTTCCATACGCACACAATTACACATGCATGCATTTACATGTGCACATATTTACATATGCATGTTTACATGTGTGCATAATTACATGCACACATATTTGCATATGCAGACTCTTACATGTGCACATTTATATATGCACAAAGTTAAATATGCACATATTTACATGCACACATTTCCATGTGTGCACATTTACATATATGTGCATTTACATGTGTGCATATTTGCATATCCTCTTCATGTATGTTCATATGTTTGCACATACATACATGATTAACATTGCACACATTTGCATGTCTGTGCATTTACATGTACACATTTGTGTGCATACACATTTACTTATGTGCGTGTCTACATTACAATGCCATGCACACCTCTTCTTCACAGGGTCAGAACAAACACTACAAACGCAGCCCTGTCTCTGATCTCAGAACCTGGGAGGCAGAGGCAGGAGGATTGCCATTCAGGGCCAGCCTGGGCTATGCACCAAGACCCTGTCTCAAAACAATAAGCTAAAAATCAGACCACGGATCCAGCAAGCATTCCTTTAAAGCTCTGAAGTGGGTCTGGAGAGACTCAGCGGCTGAGCCCCGGCTGCTCTTGGAGAGAACTGGGTCCCAGCACCTACATGGATGCATGCAACCTCCTGGAACTCCCATTCCAAGGGGACCCAGCACCCTCTTTTAGCATCCATGGGCGTTGCAGGCATATGGTGCACCACACATGAAGGCAACACACTCATACACATTAAATACACTTTTAAAGTTTGAACTGAGATTTGGAAAATCTCTGCAAAAGTGAGGGCTGCATGTGTGAACATGTTCCTGAAATTGGAGTGCAGTAGCAGCACGCCAACGCAGTCATTTCCTCATGCGCTGAGCACAGAGCTCAGAGAGGGACATGTGTGGCCAGCCGTGACACAAGACCACTACCAGAAAGCGTATGGGCTTTGGCTTCGTCACCCATCACCCCCAGTCGGCCACCCTGAGAGAGGCCAAAAACCCACAATAAACAGATGCACAACCCCGTTAGAACGCACGGACAGTTCTAGCCAGGACAGCTGGGGATGGGCGCTGACTCACATGGCACTCAGGGTGGATGTCAGGGCCCCCACACAATCCTGCATTCCGGCTGCTGCCAGCCAGGGTCATCGCAGGGCATGACCAGGAGCCCCAGCCACAGACCCTGCACACCAGGAGAGCTCTCCACAGCGGATGTTCCTGGGCTGAGTGTCTTCTGCTCACCGCCCACTTCTGTCCAGGAGACAAGTGCCGGCTGGTCACCTGGTCACTTGTGCCATTGCCTCAGGCACATTCCCAAGTCCCAGACACGAGAAGCAGCGTCCACGTGGCCATCGGTGCAGGAGACAGGCACGCAGCCATGGGCCACACCTACTTGGCTAAGCAACAGCCACCCTCACTGCCCATGTCACACCCATACCACACACAATGGACGCAGGGATCGCTGACCACATCACACACAACATGGACAGTAGACACAGTGACAGCTGACCACATAACACCCTCAATATGGGCAGTGGACAGGGTGACCACTGACCACATCACACACTGTGGACAGTGGACACAGTAACCGCTGACCAAGTCCCATACAGCATGGACAGTGAACAGGACACAGTGGGTGGCAGGGCTAGTGGGTCCATGGTGTGTGTCCCCCTCAACTTCTGGGCACTGGACACTGGGCCATGGACACTGCTGCCTGGGTGGATCACATGGGAGGGGGAAGGGTGGGGAGGGAGGGGGGAAATGAGAGAGGAGGGAAGAAAAGATGAAAGGGGAGGTGGGAGGGAGGAGGACGGAGTGTGGTGGAGAGGGGGCTGACCCTTGACTTAGAGAGCAGGAAGGATGAACTGTTCGGCGCACAGTGTGTGGACAGGGCACAGTGCCCAGTGTGTGAGTGGGGCGTACGGGGCACAGAGTGGGGCACAGGGGAGAGCAGGGTGGGGGACACGTGACGCACAGGCCCTGGGCACTGATGGACCTGGGTAGCTCTGGTGCTGGGTGGATCCGGTTCCTCTCATGAGGCCCCAGGCTCCCAGGAGTGGGAAAGGCCCCCGGTGACAAGAGGATGTGGACACTTGTAGGGAAGGAGAGGCTGAGCTGGCCAAAGTTCTGGACATCAAAAGCCGGGCGCTGGCCTGGTGTCGCAATACAGGCCTGGAGAGTGCTGTCCTCTGAGGGGCGGGCGGCACCGGGAGGGGCCGGATACTTGCAGAGCTCTTAGGGCACCTAGGCCTGGCCCCCTGTATCTAGGAGAGGGGCCACAGTGAGGTCCAGTGGGTCTCCAGCTCTGGGTGCTCCTGCTTCTCCGAAGGTCTCCCTCCCCGCTGCTCCTCTGCCCCCTCTCCCTCCCTCCGGGTGACCAATCACAGCAGCCCCCCCCCCACAGTGCTGTCTGGACAGTGTAAGTGGGAGGTGCTAGAAACTCAGTTTGCAGAGAACAAGGCCAGAGGTGAGTGGTACCCCCTTCTCTGTGGTGGGGATTTGGGCTTCAGGGACATGTTTCGGGGGGGGGGGTCTGAGTCCCAGAGAAGGCCTGCCTGGGGTCCCGAGGTGCAGTGGGTGCTCATCGAAGTGGGGGTCAGTCCTCCCAGGTCAGGTCAGCCCAGTCAGCGGCAAACACAGCAGGCTGGCTCAGGAGAAATGATGGGGTCAGCTGGCCAGGAATGTGCCCTATGCCCAATCCCAAAGGCCAGGGGATGCACGTGTGACCCTCACCACACAGCATGTGAGAGTTTGGGGACGGTGAGGACGGTGGGATGTGGGCTGCTCACTGCATAATAATGTATTGACTCTGGACAGTAGAAACATGCACAGGCAGGCTCCCCTGCCCAAGTATGCGCCTACTGTCTACACTGCCCAAGTATGCGCCTACTGTCTACACTGCCCAAGTATGCACTGACTGTTCCGTGTCGTCACAGGGCCCGCACCCTCTGGGGTGGCAGGAGCCGGCGGGGCAGTCAGTCAGTCTGCCAGTGGGAAGATCCACCTGAGCCCTGTGCTCCTGGCCTGTCGCACTTGTCCGGTCAACCTGAGCAGCTCAGCAGGACGAGGACAGCTGTTTGTGTAGGCGTGGTGGCTGAGGAACATCCCGCAGGAGCGGTCAGTGTGGGACATGTTCCACTGGGGGGGTGTGTCCTGGGGTGACCCAGGGGCAGGGGAGGGGACAGGAGGAGGGCAGCCAGCACAGGATCCGAACTCTCCTATCAGGGCAGGGGTGAAGCCTTGGGAAGATGGGAGATGTGGGGACGCCATGGTGACCTCAGGGGATGCTGGATGTTCTGGCTCTAGCATTCAGCATCTCACCCTCAGGGAGGTTTGTTGGGCTCTGGAAGTCTCTGTGGGTTGTGCTGTCTGCACATGGCCTGGTCTGGAGGCCGACACCCCACTGAGTACTGGGTCCTAGGGGAGGACGTGCATCCCACAGAACCCTGTGATGCTCCCTCCTGCTGCTGGGCAGCCTGGGGTCTCCCTTCCTAAGCCTCTCTGCACCTATCTTGGGGGTCCTGGACCAACACCCAAGGACGTGTCAGGGGGCCACCGTGCACAGCTTTGTCCCACAGTGCAGTTGTGCATGGCGGGGATCCTGTCAAGGAAGGGGCACGGGGGTGGGGGTGGGGGTGGCAGCGATTGGCCCTTGTCCACTTTCTGAGGCCTCTCAGGATTCTGGGTGTGGGGAGGAGCACACCCTAGCATGGAATTGTCAGGGCTGAGTTGGCCACATACTCAGCTTTGCCTCTGAGATGGGAGCAGAAGCCACAGGCCAGGGTCAGGGCCAAGACAGGGACCCCACACAGCCTCCATGGACTCCTTGGCTGGGGTTGCCACACTCAGAAGCAGGGAGTTTCTTCCTGTCCTGGCTAAGTGTAGACAAGGCCCAATTTGTGCACTGGGTTGAAACCACATAGTAAGCTGGAAGTAACTGACATGACCCAAGTCCTGGGGCAGCTAACCCTACTGTCACTTCCTCAGCAAATCAATCCGGGGCTGGGACCAGGGGCTGCAATGATGAAGGAGGGCCGGGTCTGGGGTGGAACGGGGAAGGTGGATTCATGACACCCTTGTTCTCCAGGATCCCGGCTTTTAGAAAGACTCAGGATTCCTGGAACACAAACGCTTTTAACTCACAGTGGGTATCTTGGGCGCAGATCCTCCACCCCATCAACAGACAAGAAACCTCCAGCCTGAGACAGGTGCGATGATGTGGGGTTGGTCTGCTGGGCTGTGTGTGCAGGGGCGCTGCAATGGCTTTTTCCGTAGGATGGACGGGTTTAGTGCTCATATTCAGTAACGTGCTCAGTCAGTGTCATTCATCCATGAGCCCAGCCATGCACACACCACCCACGCATTCCCTGTCCATCATCATCTGCCCATCCATTGATCCATCCACCCACCCATCCAAGCATCCATCCAACTGTCCATCCTCTCCCCAGACTCCCGCACTGTCCAGGGTGATACAGGGGTTGGGTCTGAGCAACATCTTGTTCCTGTTGTTTCTGTTTTGTTGACAGGGGGTCTTCCTAAGTCACAGGGGCTGAAATTGGACTTGGTCTTAACCCGGGGCAGCCTTCACTTTCGTCCTTTCTCTTGCCCTGGCTTCCAGCCTCCCAGCCTCCCGCCCCTCCCCATACCCCAAACCCCACTCCCTCATCAACTATTCCATGTGATCCACAAGGCTTCCATCCCTGTCCTGGCCGTTTGTGTCCGTGTCCCCAGTTCTCGTCTCCTCCTTGTGTCCTCACAGGCTCGCCTTGGTTGTGTCCATGTCCCCTTTGTCTGATCAGGACCCCCGGTGTGTCGGGTCAGACGTACCTGTCACCAGCCCTCCCTGGGGTCCTGTATTCAGGGGGTCAGTAATGCAGTGCTGTAATCTGGGGGACTCAGTCCCCACAACCCTAACTAACCTGTCGGGGGGGGGACTTTTCCTTAATTTCCTCCAAGACCCTGCCCTGCATGCAGCATTTGCTCAAACCCCTCTTCTCCCCTCAGGCAGCATGGACGGCCAGGCCCCCAACTCTGACTGGATGTCGCAGCTGTGCCCACAGCTCTGGGACTTGCCCCTGCACCACCTGTCCATCCCAGGTGAGTTGTCAGGGCCACTCTAGGACGTGAGCACCGTTGACGCGCGTGCCAAGTGGAGGTTGACACATTCCTGGTGACGTGGGCACGTGCCAGTCGCTGTCACTGCGTGCACCACGTGGCTCATCAGGAAATGAACCAAGGCAGACCAGAAACGAGATACTGGACTCCAAGGGCGTGGGGCAGGGTAACCAGTCCCTGCGACAGGGAATTAAGGAGGCGATGGGCTGGGGGCCAGAGGGAACAAGGTGGACGGGACTCGGGTGGGGCCGTCTACCACGATGCGCCAGCCTAGCTCCCCCTTCCCTGGCTTTGGAAGACCATGGGTGCTAGACATGTTCTGACTCAATGGCCGCTCCTTCAGGAATGCAGACACACCTTGTTGACATCCCTCACACACCAGCTGTCCACATGCCTCACACACGGCTCGAGTGCAGCTTCCACACAGGAAGGGATGGTTCCCCTCACAGGAACTGACAGCTTTGAGCCTCCTTCAGGAGCCTGTGCACAGCAGCTGCCTGCTGACACCCGTGGGGCCTCGAATGGCCTGAAGGTCCCCATGCCCCATGCGGAGCATGAGGACAGACTGCTGACGTGTCCCCTATGTGTTTTCAGGAAGTCATGACACCATGACGTACTGCCTCAGCAGGAAGTCCCCCATCTCCCACTCGCAGTCCCGCGTGCTGCACGTCCTGGGCAAGGTGCTTCCCTGTGTCACCCGCCCCATAGTGATGAAGTGGTCCGTCACTCAGGTGAGGCCATGGCAGCAGCTCTAACCTCGTAGGGATAGGAAATCTGGGGACCATGCTGTGAAGTTGGGGAAAGGGGTTTTGTACCAGAGTTCTGCTGGTTTCTGAGGTGAGGGCTTCCCAGCCTGGCAGCTAAGGTCAAGTGTAATATCTGGTTTCCTGGGGTGCCCTAAAAGAACCAGCACTTCTGAACAAGGAAGGTGCCAGGAGACCCCAAACCAGTCAGGTGAGACATGCCACTGGTTAATAGGGGGTTGCATGCCCAGGCGAGCACCAACTCCTGGTTGGTCTGCAAGGTTGGTCTACACTCCAAACCCGGACCATGAGCGTTACCTACTGTCCAAGGCACAGGCAGCCGCTTCTGCGGGCCACAGGACCCAACGGAAAGCTGGAAAGCTGGACTCGCCTGCCGCCTGCCGCCTGCCGCCTGCCGCCTGCCGCCTGCCGCCTGCCGCCTGCCGCCTGCCGCCTGCCGGGGAGTTAGCAGACTGACAGGCACCAGCTGACGCTGCGCTCCCTTAGCCGCAGTGCGGACCTAGGATGGCTGAGCAGCAGCCTGCTGGAAGGGTTAGGGTTAGGGTTAGGATCGGGTTAGGGTCAGGGTCAGGCTTAGCATGATCAAGGCCCCGGGCACCCTCCCAGTCCCGGCCAGTCCTCAAAACCTGCAGAGCACCAGGACCACACAGGGCAGTCTGGCTAGCCCAGAGCACAGGGTACTGGTGTCTGTCTGCACCTGGCTGTGGGAGACATAGTATGACCTGCAGCACTGCCGTGTGGATAGATGGACACAACCCATCATGAGCCCCAGGAAAGGGTGATGTGCCCGGGAGTGTGTCCTGCCACCCCAAGCAGAGTGAGGGCTGTCTCCTGCAGGCACTGGATGTGAGGGAGCAGCTGGACGCCGGGGTCCGGTACCTGGACCTGCGGATCGCACACATGCTGGAGGGCTCTGAGCACAATCTACACTTCGTGCACATGGTGTATACAAGCGCGTTGGTCGAGGTACGCAGGATGGGGTTGGGGGAGCCGAGCGTCAGGGATAGAGCGACCTGTTCCTCAGCCCAGAGTCTGGTCAGGCATCCTGCAGTCTGTGCCGTGTGCACGCACTGACAGTCATGGCCCCGGTAGCTCCCTCAGCAGGGTGTGTAAACACGCAGCCTCTGCCCCCAGGACACCCTAACAGAGATCTCAGAGTGGCTGGAGAGGCACCCACGCGAGGTGGTCATCCTGGCCTGCAGGAACTTCGAGGGCATGACGGATGAGCTGCACGGATATCTGGTGTCCTGCATCAAGAACATCTTTGGGGACATGCTGTGCCCTCGTGGGGTGAGGGGGAGCAGGCGCGGCCCCAGGGCTGGGGTGGGTGTCCGTGTGTGTGCATGCGTGTGCGTGGCCTCTTGTCCCCGTCGGACAGCCCCAGCTGCACTTCGTGACTGAGGACAGCGTGTGGACCCGGCCTGCTCCTGGGCGTCCTCAGAGGTCCCCTAACCCCCAACCCCGAAGTGTCGAGCTCGGAGCCCCGCACGCTGTGAGCTCCCTCGTGGCCTTTCTCCCTCCCAGGACGTCCCCACGCTGCGGCAGCTGTGGGCGCGCGGCCAGCAGGTGATCCTGTCCTACGAGGACGAGGTCTCCGTCCGCCGCCATCCAGAGCTGTGGCCCGGGATCCCCTACTGGTGGGGGAACAAGGTGAAGCCGCAGGCACTGATCCAGTTCCTGGAGACCATGAAGGGCTGCGGCCGCCCAGGTACCAGGGACGAGGGCGCCTCTGGGGACCCCTCTAGGGGCACGTGGGACTCGGGGTGGTGGCATCGGGGGGCTCGCACCCCGGCATGACTCTTCCCTCGGGACCAGGGGGCCTCTTCGTAGCGGGCATCAACCTCACGGAGAACCTGGGGTACGTGCTGGCGCACCCCACCGCTTCCCTGCGGGACATGACGCTGCCCAACCTGCCGCACCTGAGCGCCTGGGTACGCGAGCAGAGCCCGGGGCAGGGCGCGCGCTGCACCAACATCATTGCCGGAGACTTCGTCGGCGCGGACACGTTCGTCAGCGACGTCATCGCGCTGAACAGGAAGCTGCTGTGGTGGTGACGCGCCCCGTGGTGGGCACAGGGCTGCACAAAGCACCACCTCCCGCAGCACCAGCAAGCTGGCCCTGTGCGCAAACAATGGACGCCAAAGGGTTCCAGCCCGAGCCCACAGGGGCCCCGCGGACCTGGAACTTCCGGAGCTGCTCAGCCTCCTGGGACGTGGCCGGTGTCTGGACCGAGCCCAGAGAAAGTTCTGGAAACGCCCGCGCCTACGTGCCGCCTGGCCTGGCCGCCCGCCCTGGAACCACGTAGGAGTCTCCCGCATCTCGGGTTTCCCGCATTCAGGATTTCCCACGCCCTGCCGTGTCCCATGGCCCGGGCCTCAGGGCTCCACCGTGGACCTCAGTCGCGCCGTCCAGACCCACATCCACTTCCACACCCACGGGTCCCCAAAGGCCACGGCGGGTCCCGCTACTGAACACGGCTCAACAGGAACCCCAACATGCGGAACCAGCTGGGAGTGGCATTCCAGCCCAGGTCAAGGGACGCTAGGCAGAAGCCAGAGCAGCATTTCCCCGCCAGGCAAAGCACTTCCTGTGCTGAGAACAACTAAAACCCAAGTGCACCGTGTTTGGGAATTCTGTGTGTTGGACTCCCAGGGTGCTGACCTGGAGCTCAGTCTTCCTGATGCCACTCCACAGTGCTGGGACTCCGTCTCCACACTCGGGTTATGCAGTACTGGGCTGCGTGGAGAAAACTCCACCCACGGAGCTTAGGCACTCCACACAGTGACAAGCACCACAGATTAAGTTATAGGCACCCTATTCACTGAACTACAAGCACTCTGCCCACTGAACAACAGGCATTTCTTTAACTTTTTTGTGCTTTTTGTTTTATGTATATGCATGTACTGCCTGCATGTGTGTAACGGCACCCGTGTCATGGAATGCCCACAGAGGACAGAAGAGGGTGTCGGATCCCTTGGAACTGAAGTTACAGATAGTTGTTGGCCACAATGTGGGTGCTGGGAATCAAACCGGGTCTTCTGCAAGACCAGCTACTGCTCTTAATCACTGTGCCCTCTCTCCAGCTCCAAGCAACAAGCATTCTACCAACTGAGCTAATGCACTCTAAACACTAAGTTACAAACACCACGCACTGAGCTACAAGCACCACAGATTCAGTTTAAGCACCCTACCCTCTGAGCTGCATTCCCAGTTTGTCTGGTAATCTCTGGGGCTACACAGGCAACCTGGGACACCAGATGCCGCAGAACTCTCCACTTGTGACCTCAACTTTAGCACCTGCTTCCAGGTCAGGCGTGGTGGCACACACCTTCAATCCCAGGCAGAAGCAGGTGGATCTCTGACACTGAGGCCAACCTGGTCTCCATAGTGAGTTCCAGGACAGCCTGGGCTACAGGGAGACCCGGTCACAAAAAACAAAAACAAAAAAAAACACATTTTTGCTTCCATCCAGTGGGATTTGGGTATAAATGTTAGGACAGAAGAGACCCGGCATTCCAGGCCTCAGTCAGGTCCTGATGTGAGCTCAGCTGCTGGACAGAGCAGAATGCCCCCGTCAGTCACGCTTTCCCTAACGACAGGCTGTGCCCATGGGGGACACTTGTCCCTCCTGTGGGTCTTACATCAGACTCAGACATTGAGGAGGCTTGGGGGTCAGTTACCTGAAAAACTTCCAAAGTGGGGCAGGGAGCTGCGAGGACCTAAATCCCAGGGCAGAGGTGGTGAGGGCATCACAGATGCCCAGCAGGAAAGGGGTGAATGAAGGCCCAGCGTGGTGACTTCCTGCTCTGCCAGGCTGATCCCAGAGCAGAGTCATGGGAGCTTAGTCCACCGAGCTCTGACCACAGACCCCCCTGTTGACCACAAACACCCCCCCCATTTCTCTCCTGGTTCTGGTTCTTGAGGTGTCACAGCTGTTCCCCCTAGGGACACGTGTCTTGCAATGGGGTGTGGAATCCTTGGGGAGTTCGGCCTGGTCACAGGGTCAAAGGGTCACACTGTCTCGGCGTCACAGCCGTGCACACCAATGAGCTTTAATGACCGCGTGTCTTGCAATGGGGTGTGGAATCCTTGGGGAGTTCGGCCTGGTCACACTGTCTCGGCGTCACAGCCGTGCACACCAATGAGCTTTAATGACCTATGTGCATGAGCTCACACCATGCGTGGCTGATCCATGTGTCAGGGTTCCACGGTCCACCATGTGTGCAGTCTCAGGCAGGGGCATCAGGTGATTCAGGCAGAGGCCCCCACACCCCTCTGTTCAAAGTCAGTAGTGTTCCAGCCAGAGCAGGGTCCTCAATCAGGGAAGAGCTTCCTGAACTTGCCGTAGGCTGCCTGACTCATGATGACTGTCACGTGGGCCTCCCCAGCCTCAGGAACCACATCCACCTGCTGCACTGCAGCCTCTTTGTACAGCCAGCTGGGAGCATGGGGGGGGGCGGGGTCAGGCTGACACCCCAGTCTTGCTATCTGGGGGCGACCTGGGCTTCCAACCCCAGACCAGAGCTGGGAGGGCACAGAGCGTGGGCAGGGTATACAGACACACATATCACAGCACAGATTACACAGGGTACACATATGCAAACATCAGAGCACATACTAGGCCTCTAAGGTATGCACATGTCAAAGCACAGATTAGGCCCTCAGGGTATGCACATGCACAGGTTAGCACAGCTTTCTGGTCCCCTGGAAGGAACCAGGCCCAATGTGTCCAGCCCTTCCTGGAAGCCCATTTCAGTCCCAGGACAGGTCACACCCCATCCATCTGCAGCACAAACCCTCTCACCTGAGCTGTGGCCCTGCCAGCCTGATGCGCAGGGTCATGACCTGTCGGCCTGTGGCCTTCAAAACTGCAGCCTCCAGTGCGGCCTTCAGCTGGTCCAGCCCACACCCCAAGAGGGCGGACACGGCCAGGACACGTGAACCTGGGGGGCTGTACCTGTGCAGGGAGGCAGGCCATGCTCAGCCCAGGGCCGAGGGTTCTGGGGTTCCCCACCTATGGGCTGGCCCAGAATTAGGATTAGAGCTCTGTGTATGGGAGGCCATCCCATCAAGGCTGGGACAGAAAGGACTGAGGGACGGAAACACAGGCAACACGGATGGGAGCATATGATGGGTCCTCCGCCTGACCCACGGGCGGCCCCAGCCCTCCCAGCTCACCCAGGCACCAGGTCCACTTTGTTGTGGACTTCCACCATGGAGTCCAAGAGCGTGCTGGGCAGGTGCAGGCCACACAGGGTGGACAGGACACTGGCTTTCTGCAGCTCACTGTCGGGGTGGCTCACATCCCGCACGTGAATGATAACATCCTAGGAGGAGGGGGGTTCAGAGAGCTGAAGACTACCCTGAATGAACTCGGAGGGCACCGATGCTGACACAGGTGGGACGAGAACTACCCTTGCACTCCAAGTGTCATACAGGATGGGGTCCCGGAGGCCACAGGACCTGGCCCCAGGCAAACACGTGCACCAATTCCTGAGGCCCCTGAATCCCACCCAGACATAATGCAGCCGGGGTCAGGCCTGTACTGTTCTACCAAGCCAAAGCAACCAGCCTGCACCCCAGATCTAGAACAGGGTGCTACCCATCAGGACCAAACACTCCACCCAGGATTTTGTTTGTGTGAGCTCTGACCATCACAACTTCTGCTGGGATAGGGTGAGTTAGTTTCTGCCAAAAGACGTGCACATAGCTAGACAGAACAAAGGAATGGGGCGTCATCCGGAAACAGGTTCTTTGCAGATGGCATAAGTGAGGGGTCTGGGGATGGAGAGTCCTGGATGAGGGCGGCCCTGAATGCCGTGAGTGTCCTTGCGAGGCACAAAAGGAGACATATACCCCGAAGAGAAGCCATGGGGAGACAGAGGCAGAGATGGGAGGAATGCTGTAGCCCCAGAAGCCAGGAGTGGAGGGTCCTCTCCACAGCCGACACCCCTGTATTCCACACGCCGCTGGGGGAGGATGGGTCTCTAGGGTTTGTGGCCCCCTGAGGAGGTCCACCCTGGATCCTGTGGGCATGTGAGTGCTGCGTGCTGCCCCGGGGACGCAACCTGACTTGAGAACCTTGTCCCTACACTCACCGAGTGCACCACATCCTCCAGCGTGGCGGAGAAGGACTGGATCAGGCCGTGGGGCAGCTGTGACAGGAAGCCGATAGTGTCCACGTACAGGATGGCCATGCGTGAGGGCAGCGTCCCCATGTGTGCCGTGACGTCCAGAGTGGCAAACAGCTGGTCTCGGGGCTCAATGGCGGCATCACCCGTCAGAGCCTTGATCAGCGTGGTTTTCCCTGGGACAAGGCACAGGACACACAAACATTCTAAATCTTCACTGTGGCCTGACCTGTAGGTCTCACCCATGAATAACACCTTGTAAAGGTGGGGACCTGTGTACACCCTGGAGGGGAGGGGAGGGGCCTGTGAGTACCAAAATCCCTTACCACAGTTGGTGTAGCCCACCACAGATACCACCGGCAGCTCCCGCCTGGCCCGCTCTCTCCGCAGCAGGCCCCGCTTCCTGCATAGCCTCTCCAGCGCCCTCTTGATCTTGGCCTCTCTCTCCTTCAACACTCGCTGCTGCAGCTGCACAAAGGATTCCCCTGCAGACACACAGCTTGGGGGTTCCCATGTGGCTGGGGCCTCCCCTTCTTCCCCGGAAACCAGTCTGTCCATCCTTCCGGCCCACTGTGCTCAGGCAAAGGCAGCGAGGGATGCTCATGGTACCAGCTGAGGACACAGGCTGGACCAGGACACACCAGAGCCAGCAGGGGCTGCAAGGGATGGGGACAGCTGGGTGCTGAGGTTATCTTTCAGGAGGGCCTGGGGAGCTCCAGTGATCTGCTGTGCCCAGGCCACAGCTCACGTGCACACTAAACTTCCAAGAAAACCACAATTCTGTGGGAGGGGTGGGGGTTTGGGGTCACATGAGCCATTAAAGCACAGTGGACTTGTGGGTTAGTGGATCAGTCCATTCAGGATTAGACCAGTTCAGTCGTGGATTATACTAGGTCACTCCTGAATTACACCAGTTCATTCACGGATTAGATGAGTACACTCAGATTAGAACACTTCATACATGGATTAGACCAGTCCATTAAGGATTAAACCAACCCACTCATGAATTAGATTAATCCATTCATGGATGAGGAATGTCCAGTCATGGATTAGACCAGTCCATTCTGGTTTATCAGTGGATTCAGGATTAGATTAGTCCATTCATGCATTAGATCAGTCCATTCACAGATAAGGCCAGTCCAGTCATGGATTAGACAAGTCCACTCATGGATTAGGCCATTCCATTCATGGATTAGAACATTCAATTCACAGATTAGGCCAGTCCAGTCATAGATTAAAGCAGATCATTCATGGATTACACCAGTTCATTCACGGATTAGATGGGTCCATTCATGGACTAGACCAGTCCAGCCATGGCTTAGATCAGTCCATTCATTAATCAGGACGGTCCAGTCATGGACTAAATCAGTCCATTCATTGATTAGGAAGGTCCAGTCATAGATTAGCACAGTCCATTTAGGATTATCACTCCATTCAGGGATTAGGCCAGTTCACTCATGGATTAGATCAGTCCATTCATGAATTAGGAAAGTTCAATCATGGATTACTCCAGTCCACTCATGGAAGAGACTAGTCCATTCTTGGATTAGGCCAGCTCAGTCATGGATTAGACAAGTCCACTCATGGATTAGGCCAGTCCATTCATGGATTAGACCAATCCAGTCATGAATTAGAACAGTCCACTCATGGATTAGGCCAATCCAGTCATGAATTAGAACAGTCCACTTATGGATTAGACCAGTCCAGTCATATGACAGCACATCATTTGCAGATAGATTACACCAGTTCATTCACGGATTAGATCAGTCCATTCATGGATTATGCCAGCCTAGTAATGACTAAACTAGTCAATTCAGGATTAGAGAAGTTCTTTCATGGATCAGATGGGTCCACTCATGGACTAGGCCATTCCAGTCATGAATTAGATCAGTCCATTCATGGATTATGCCAGTCTAGTAATGATTAGACCAGTCAATTCAGGATTAGATCAGTTCATTCATGGATTGGATCGGTCCACTCATGGATTAGGCCGGTCCAGTCATAGATTAGAACAGTCCATTCATGGATTAGGCCAGTCCAGTCATGGATTAGATCAATCCATTCATGAAATAGGAAAGGCCACTCATGGACCACATCAGTCCATTCATGGATTACAAAGGTCCAGTTGTGTAGATCAGTCCATTCTGGATTATCAGTACATTTTCATGGATTAGACAAGTTCACTCATGGTTACACCAGTCCATTCATGGTTTAGGCCAGTCCAGTCATGGATTAGACCAGTCCATACATGGATTAGGCCAGTCCAGTCATGGATTAGATCACTCCATTCATGGATTAGGACAGTATAGTCATGGATTAGATCAGTCCATTCATGTATTATGTCAGCCTAGTAATGATTAGACCATTCAGTTCAGGATTACACTGGTTCATTAATGTATTAGATCGGTCCACTCATGGATTAGCCCAGTCCAGTCATGGATTAGATCAGTCCATTCATGGATTACACCAGCTCAGTCATGGATTAGACCAGTCCATTCACAGATTAGATTGTCCATTCATGGATTAGCCCAGGCCATGCATGGACATTCCAGTTCATTCATGTGTTAGATCAGTCCATTCATGGATTATTCTAGCCTAGTAATGATTAGACCAGGCAATTCAACATTAGACCAGTTCATTCATGGATTAGGCCAGTCAGTCCAGTCAAGGATCAAATCACTCCATTCATGAATCAGGAGTCTAATCATGGACTAGATCAGTCCATTCACGGGTTACAAAGGTCCAATTGTGTATTAGATCAGTCCATTCAAGATTATGTCTATTTTCACGGATTAGACCAGTTTACTCATGGGTTACACCAGTCCATTCATGGATTAGGCCAGTCCAGTCATGGATGAGGCCAGTCCAGTCATGGAATAGATCTGTCCATTCGTGAATTAAGAAAGTCCAGTCACAGATTAGATCAGTACAGTCATGGATTAGAGAAGTCCAGTCAGGATTATCAATCCATTCATGAATTACACCAGTTCATTCCAGATTAGATCAGTCCAGTCATGGATTAGCCCAGTACTCCATTCATGAATTAGGGTAATCCAGTCATGGATCAGAACACTCCACTCATGAATTAGGCCTGTCCCTGTCATGGGTTAGATCCATTCATGAATTAGGAAACTCAGATCATGGACTAAGTCAGTCCATTCATGGATTATGCCAGTCTAGTCATGAATAAACCAGTCCATTCAGGATTAGACCAGTTCATTCATGGATTAGATCTGCCCACTCATGGATTAGACCAATCCAGTCATGGATTAGACCAGTCCAGTCATAGTACAGCAGATCATTCACAAATTATACCACTTCATTCATGGATTCGATCAGTCCATTCATGGATAATGCCAGCCTAGTAATGATTAGTCTATTCAAGATTAGGCCAGTTCACTCATGTATTAGATCGGTCCACTCATGAATTAGGCCGGTCCAGTCATGGATTAGAAAACTTCATTCATGGATTAGACCAGTACAGTCATGGATCAGATCAGTCCATTCATGAATTAGGAAAAGTCCAAGTCATGGATTAGATGAGTCCATCCATGGATTAGGCCAGCTCAGTCATGGATTAGACAAGTCTAGTCATGGATAGAACAGTCCATTTATGAATTAGGAAAGTCCAGGCATGGATTAGCCCAGTCCACTCATGGATTAGACCAGTCCATTCAAGGATTAAGAAAGTCTGGTCATGGATTAGACCAGCCTATTCATAGATTAGATTGGTTCATTCTCGGATTAGACCAGTTCACTCATGGGTTACACCAGTCCACTCATGGATTAGGCCAGTCCAGTCATGGATTAGGCCAGTACAGTCATGGAATAGATCTGTGCATTTGTGAATTAAGAAAGTCCAGTCATGGATTAAATCAGTCCAGTTATGGATTAGAGCAGTCCATTCAGGATTATCAAACCATTCATGGGTTACACCAGTCCATTCATGGATTAGGCCAGTCGATTCATGGATTAGGCCAGTCCAGTCATGGATTAGATCACTCAATTCATGGATTACAACAGTCTAATCATGGATTCGATCAGTCCATTCATGGATTAATCCAGCCTAGTAATGATTAGACCAGTCAATTCAGGATTAGACCAGTTCATTCATGGATTAGATGGCTCCACTCATGGACTAGACCAGTCCAGTTATAGATTAGAACAGTCTATTCATGGATTACAACAGTCCAGTCACAGATTAGATCAATCCATTCATGGATTATGCCAGCCTAGTAATGATTAGACCAGTCAATTCAGGATTAAGACCAATTCATTCATGGATTAGATTGGTCCACTCATGGATTAGGCCAATCCAGTCATAGATTAGAACAGTCCATTCATGAATTAGGCCAGTCCAGTCATGGACTGAATCAATCCATTCATGAATTAGGGAAGTCCAGTCATGGATTAGACCAGTTCAGTCATATTATTGCAGATCATTCACAGATTACACCAGGTCATTCATGGATTAGATCAGTCCATTCATGGATTATGTCAGCCTAATGAGCAGACCAGTCAGTTCAGGATGAGATCAATCCACTCATGGATTACGCCAGCCCAGTCATGGATTAGGAAAGTCCAGTCATAGACTAGATCAGTCCATTCATGGATTAGGCCAGTCCAATCATGGATTAGACCACTCCACTCATGGATTAGAACAGGCCATTCATGGATTAGGCCAGTCCAGTCATGGATTACATCAATCCATTCATCAATTAGGAAAGGCCAGCCATGGATTTCTCCAGTCCATTCACGGATTAGACCAGTCCATTCATGGATTAGACAAGTCCACTCAAGGATTAGGCTAGTCCACTTATGAATTAGACCAGTCCAGTCATGGATTAGAACCGTCCACTTATAGGTTAGACCAGTCCAGTCATATTACTGCAGATCAGTCACAGAATACACCAATTCACTCGTGGATTAGATCAGTCCATTCATGGATTTGCCAGCCTAATAACGATTAGACCAGTCAACTCAGAATTAGACCAGTTCATTAATAGATTATTTAGGTCCACTAAGTCCAGTCATGGATTAGAACAGTCCATTCATGGATTAGGCCAGCTCAGTCATGGATTAGAAAAGTCCATTTATGAATTAGGAAAGTCCAGTCGTGGATTAGCCCAGTCCACTCATGGATTAGACCAGTCCATTCACGGATTAGATCAGTCCATTCATGGATTAGATCAGTCCATTCATGGTTTTGCTAGCCTAATAATGATCAGACCAGTCAATTCGGGATTAGACCAGTTCATTCATATATTATATCAGTCCACTCATGGATTAGGCCAGTCCAGTCATGGATTAGAACAGCCCATTCATGGATAAGGCCAGTCCAGTCATGGATTTTATCAGTCCATTCATGGATTAGGCCAGCTCAGTCATGGATTAGAAAAGTCCATTTATGAATTATGAAAGTCCACTCATGGATTAGCCCAGTCCACTCATGGATTAGACCAGTCCATTGAGGATTAAATCAGTCCATTCATGGATTTGCCAGCCTAGTAATGATTAGGCCAGTCAATTAGGATTAGACCAGTTCATTCATGGATTAGATGGGTCCACTCATGGATTAGGCCAGTCCAGTCATAGAGTAGAACAGTCCATTCATGGGTCAGGCCAGTCGGTCCAGTCAAGGATTAGATCACTCCATTCATGAATCAGGAAAGTCCAATCATGGACTAGATCAGTCCATTCATGCGTTACAAAGGTCCAGTGGGGTATTAGGTAAATTCATTCTGGATTATCAGCCCATTTTCACGGATTAGACCAGTTCACTCATGGGTTACACCAGTCCATTCATAGATTAAGCCAGTCCAGCCATGGAATTGATCTGTCCATTTGTGAATTAAGAAATTCCAGTCATGGATTAGAGCAGTCCATTCAGGATTATCAATCTATTCATGGATTACACCAGATCATTCACAGATTAGATCAGTCCAGTCATGGATTAGCCCAGTAGTCCATTCATGAATTAGGTAATCCAGTCGTGGATTAGAACACTCCATTCATGAATTAGGCTAATCCAGCCATGGATCAGAACACTCCACTCATGAATTAGGCCCGTCCCTGTCATGGGTTAGATCAATCCATTCATGAATTAGGAAACTCAGATCATGGACTAGGTCAGTCCATTCATTGATTATGCCAGGCTAGTCATGATTAAACCAGCCTATTCAGGATTAGACCAGTTCATTCATGGATTAGATCTGTCCACTCATGGATTAGAACAGTCCACTCAAGGATTAGACAAGTCCAGTCATAGTACAGGAGATCATTCACAAATTATACCAGTTCATTCACAGATTAGATCAGTGTATTCATGGATAATGCCATCCTAGTAATGATTAGACCAGTCAATTCAGAATTAGACCAGTTCATTCATGGATTAGATGGCTCCACTCATGGACTAGACCAGTCCAGTTATAGATTAGAACAGTCTATTCATGGATTACAACAGTCCAGTCACGGATTAGATCAGTCCATTCATGGATTATGCCAGCCTAGTAATGATTAGACCAATCAATTCAGGATTAAGACCAGTTCATTCATGGATTAGATAGGTCCACTCATGGATTAGGCCAATCCAGTCATAGATTAGAACAGTCCATTCATGAATTAGGCCAGTCCAGTCATGGATTGAATCAATCCATTCATTAATTAGGAAAGTCCAGTCATGGATTAGACCAGTCCAGTCATATTACTGCAGATCATTCACAGATTACACCAGGTTGTTCATGGATTAGAGCAGTCCATTCATGGATTAGGCCAGTCCAGTCATGTAGTAGATCAGTCCATTCTGGATTTTCCATTCATTTTCATGGATTAGACCAGTTCACTCATGGGTTACGCCAGTCCATTCATGGATTACGTCAGTCCAGTCATGGATTAAGCCAGTCCGATCATGGATTAGATCAGTCCATTCATGGATTATGTCAGCCTAGTAAAGATTAGACCAGTCAATTCAGGATTAGACCAGTTCATTCATGGATTAGCTCACGCCACTCAAGAATTAGTCCAGTTCAGTTATGGATTAGAAAACTCCATTCATGGATTAGACCAGTCTAGTTATGGATTAGGTCAGCTCAGTCATGGATTAGACAAGTCCACTCATGGATTAAGACCAGTCCAGTCACAGATTAGAACAGTCCACTTATGAATTTGGAAAGTCCAGTAATGGATTAGCACAGTCCACTCACGGATTAGACCACTCCATTCAAGGATTAGGAAGGTCCAGTCATGGATTATAACAGTCCACTCATGGATTAGATTGGTCCATTCATGGATTAGCCCAGTCCACTCATGGATTAGACCAGTCCATTCAAGGATTAGGAGGCTCCAGTCGTGGATTCTAACAGTCCATTCACAAATTAGACCAGTCCATTCACGGATTAGATTGGTTCAGTCATGATTAACTCAGCCCACTCACAGATTACCCCAGTCTACTCCACTCATGAATTACTCCAGTTCATTCATGGGTCAGATCAGTCCATTCATGGATTATGCCAGCCTAGTAATGATTAGAGTAGTCAATTTGGGATCAGACCAGTTCATTCATGGCTTAGATGGGTCCACTCATGGATTATACCAGTCCAGTCATGGATTAGGCCAGTCCAGTCATGGATTAGATCAGTCCATTCGTGAATTATGAAAGGTCATGATGAACTAAATCAGTCCATTCATGGATTAGGCCAGTTCAGTCATGGATTGTATCAGTCCACTCATGGTTTAGGCCAGCTCAGTCATGGATTAGACAAGTCCATTCATGGATTAGAACAGTCCATTTATGAATTAGAAAAGTCCAGTCAGGGATTAGCCCAGTCCATTCATAGATTAGGCAGGTCTAGTCATGGACTAGATCTGTCCATTCAAGGATTAGGATTGTCCAGTAATGGATTAATTAGTCTATCCATGAGTTAGGACAGTCCAGTCATGGACTAGATCAGTCAACTCACAGATAAAACCAATCCAGTCATGGATTAGAACAGTCCATTGCAGATTAGGCCAGTCCGGTTATATTATAGATCATTCATGGATTACACCAATTCATTCACAGATAAGATCAGTCCACTCAGTGTTAGACCAGTTCATTCATGGATTAGATCGGTCCACTCATGGATTAAGCCTGTCCAGTGATAGAACAGTCCATTCATGGATTAGGCCAGTCCAGTCATGGATTAGGGAGGCCCAGGAATGGATTATATCTGTCCATTCGTGAATTAAGATAGTCCAGCCATGGATTAGATCAGTCTAGTCATGGATTAGAGCAGTCCATTCAGGATTATCAGTCCATTCGTGGATTACACCAGTTCATTCACGGATGTGTCCAGTCATGGATTAGCTCAGTTCACTTATGGATTATACCAGTCCAATCATGGATTAGAATGGTAGTCCCTTCATGAATTAGGTTAGTCCAGTCATGAATTAGAACACTCCACTTACGAATTAGGCCAGTCCCTGTCATGGATTAGATCAGTCCATTCATGAATTATGAAAGGTCATGATGAACTAAATCAGTCCATTCATGGATTATGCCAATCTAGTCATGATTAAACCAGTCCATTCAGGATTAGTCCCGTCCACTCATGGATTAGACCAGTCCAGTCATGGACTAGATCAGTCCATTCAAGGATTAGGAAGGTCCGGTCATGGATTAGGCAGGGCTAGTCATGGATTAGGTCAGTCCATTCATGAATCAGGAAAGTCCAGCCATGGACTAGATCAATCTATTCATGGATTAGGAAAGTCCGGTTATGGACTAGAGCAGTCCATTCATGGATTATGCCAGTCTAGTCATGATTAGACCAGTCTATTCATATTCAATATTAGACCAGTTCAATCACAGATTAGATCGGTACACTCACGGATTAGGCCAGTCCAGTCATGGACTAGATCAGTCCATTCATGAATTAGGAAAGTCCAGTCATGCATTAGCCCAGTCCATTTATGGATTAGAGAAGTCCAATCATGGATTATGCCAGTCTAGTCATGATTAGATCAGTCCATTCACGAATTAGGAAAGTCCAGTCATGCATCAGCCCAGTCCACTTATGGATTAGACCAGTCCAGTCATGTCTTAGGCCAGTCCACTCATGGATTATCAGTCCATTCATGGATTAGGCCAGCTCAGTCATGGATTAGACATCCACTCATGGATTAGACCAGTCCACTGATGGATTAGGAAAGCCCCATCATGGACTAGATCAGTCCATTCATGGATAAGGCCAGTCCAGTCATGGATTATACCACTCCATCCAGGATTAGACCAGTCCACTCAGGAGTAGAGCAGTCCACTGAGGCAAATGGGGATTCCACCCCTAGTGGAGCATGGACCTGCCCACTCCAGACTCGTGACCAGGGAATTCCTGGACTAGAGCACAAGCCCATTCTCCAGCTAGCGGAGCAGTGAGCACAGATCAAGTGACTGACCACTGCACCAACACAGGCATGGATGACTGAAAGAGTCCATCCATTGATAGTTTAGTCCATGTGTACACTAGCATGCAGTCCATCAGTTAGCGGGTTAGTCCATGTGTAGACTGCAGGGCTCATCTAACTGCTACAAATTGGACTGTATCTTGTCTGTCCCATGCACTGGCTCTGCCCTCTGCCATGTCATGTGTAGAATGGTCCCTCAGCAGATGTGGAGCCTGGTCTTGTTCATACTACGCTCGTTCTATCTTTACACGTGCCCAGCCTGAACCATCCTGTCCCATCCGCCCAGGAAGAGGAAACCAGCTGACCTGAGCCGGGACACAACACCCAGGCTTCCCCTCTTTCCGCATGGCACCTTCCAGAGCTGCCATCCCGTGTGTGAGGGGACAACCCAACATCTGTCGGCTGCAACTCACCTGAGCCCATGATGTACCGGGAGCCCCTTCCTGGTTGGTCTTGGCAGGCAGAGCTGCTTTTCAGGGACGACCTGGTATGAAACAGGCATTTACTAACGGCAACACCCGGTTCTCACCTGGCTGCCGAGCCCACAGCTCACGCAACCAAAATGAGGGGCGCTTGGCTGAGCTGGGGATGGATGGAGGAAGGAGGGTGGGGGTGACAAGACTTTGGTGAATCAACCCATGGTGGGCGGTCACACCTCGGGGAATGGAAACCTGGCTTCCAAACACTCAAAGTACCTGAGGAGGGGGATCTCAGCCAGCGCTACCTGCAGCCGGGCCTCCCTGGTCTGGGCATTATGGCGGAAAATGTGCAGAACGAGGGTGAATCTGTCGAACACCTCCACACCCCAGGCTGCCTCCAGCTCCATCTACAAAGGGGAGAGGCTGAGGATGTGGTGGGACAGTCGGAGATGGACAGCGTCCAGGATCCAAGGTCTCAGCAGTAGGGACAGGTCCAGGGCCCAGGGCCCCGGCAGTAGGGACCGGCAGCATCCACGGCCCGGGCAATGGGGAGGGGCAGTGTCCAGGGCCCCTGGCTCCCCAGGCCTGACAGCCTTGACCCCACACAGCCCCTGACCCACCTTGGTCGCTGATGACATCTGTTCTACATTTAGAAAGACGGAGGTGATTTCTGGATGCGCTCTGATTGTCTCTGCAGGGAACACATGGTTTCTTTGAAGGTGGCAGGTATTGGGGGGTGGCGTCCTGCGGGCTCTGACCTCAGACTTGGAGGAAGCCTCCCACAGCTTCCCAAACCAGGACCCCACACCCTGTCTGATCTGCGCCCACCTGGGAGACCACCAGGTGAGGCCGGACAGCTTCTCAGGTTGAATTTTCTTGGCAGAAGTCAGAGAAAAGGACGGGGGAGGACGGGGGATGACAGAATAGGGGGACGGGGAGGAGGAGACAGGCCTGAGCGGCTCACCTGTGACTTGCGCCAAGTTCCCCTTGCCGAAGATGAGCTTCCTGCCGGGAGTCCGTGTGGCAACCACCATGGTGTGCACCACAGACCAGCCGTGCAATGTGTGCACCAGAGCGGCCGCCTCAGCCACTTGCCACTCGGCTGTGGGGAAGGACAGGGTCCCTCAGGGAGGGTCTGTTAGGGACGGCCGGAACCCCGGCGAAGCCCGCCGGCGTCCCCAGACCCCAAGATCCCCCTCAGGCCTGCCAGGGACCCAGAGAGACTGTGAAGCTCTGGGTAAACCGAGGTCCTGATAAGCATCACTCCTGGGAGACCCGCGCTACCCCTGGGGCGCCTGGACACCCAACACGTGAGGCCCACGGGCCCCACATTCCGGCTTGCATTGGAACAGGCAGCACACACGCTGCGTACGAAGCAGCTGCAGTCAGAGGTGCAGCGGCCCAGAAAGGACAGGGGGTGAGCTGCAGGTGCTGGGGCACACAGTGACAGGGAGGCAGAGGCAGGGGCAGGGTGCTGGGTGCTGAATGCACGGTGCTGTACCGAGTGCACTGGGCTGGCCAACGATTCTGCATCCCTGAAGATTCGGAAGTGCTCCCAGCTGTCAGCAACCGTCCATCACGAAGAACCAGCCCCGGAAGCCCCGCTCTCCAACCGGCAGAAGTGCCGCCCCTCAACAGCTCCGACCTATCAGCGCCGCCCGCACATGCCGCGCCCCCCCCAAGCCCCGCCCGAGCTCTTCCCTCCAGCGTGGTTCCACGCTCGCAGAGTCCCCACCTCTTCCGGGGTCACTACCCACTTCTGCTCGGCATCCACCGCTTCTTACTGTATCCCAGTTGGCTGGGTTCCTGCCGAAGCCACGCCCCTTCTACGTAACTGAGCTGTCAGCCTTCAGCCTAATCTCTCGGCCTACTTCCACCCTCCTGTCCCGCCCCTCCCGGCAGCTGTGCCCTATCAGCTTCCTCCAGTCACCACTCAGCCGACCACCCAACAACTTCCGCCTTTGTGTCCCGCCCCGTCTCGAGCCCTCAACCTATCAGCTCCCTCTCCACAGCCCTGACGGACGTCCCACCCGGTTCCGCCCTTTCCGGCATCCCCACTTCCATGTTGCCGCCCCTTCAGAGTCCTTGTCCAATCAGCTCCCTCCTGACAGGCATTTCGCTTGGTTCCGCCCCTTCCGAAGTCATCACCCAATCAGCTCCCTCTTGCCAGCCCTGACTGGCGTCCCGACTGGCTCCGCCCCTTCCGGCATCTCCGCCCACTTCTCCCACCCCTTCCGGTGTCCCCATCCTATCAGTTCCCTCCGACCAGGCCTGACAAACGACTCATCCCCTCTTATCCCGCCCCTTCCGGAGCCCCCATCCTATAGGTTCCTCCGGCTAACCCTAACAGGCAGCTCTGGTCCCGCCCTCCGGGCATCCCCGTCCTCTTATCCCGCCCCTTCCGGAATCGATCGGCGCCCTCTTGCCAGCTGACAGCCCGGCGTCCCGGCCCACTTCCGCCCTCACGTCCTCGCCCCTTCCGGTGACCTGACGACCGATGGCTGGTTCCGCCCTTGACGTCAGGATGCAGGACGCACACGCGCTGGGCACCGGCGAGAAGCAACGGCTGGTGGCTCAGTAGTTCCGCCTCATCCTTTTCCTCCTCCTCCTCTTCCTGGTCATCTTCCGGCCGCTCGCCGCACCCCCGGCCATCCACACCGCCCAGTCGTCGGTTCCCTGGGTCCCAGCGGCCGGCGGCGACGAGCGCGCGGACGGAACAGGGCGGCCAGGGTGGCACGGGGTGCGGAGTCTGGAGGCCACGGCCCACGCGGAAGAGCCGGAGCCCGGGGCGGACGGCGGCCAGCAAGGCCCACATGTCGCGTCACCAACAACGCGGGGGCGGGGCCGACGGTGCTCGGGCGCTCCCCATTGGACGCGGAGGGGCGGGGCGGGGAGAGGCGAGCGGGCGCCTCCGGGGTGGGCAGGGTCTGCGGCTCTTGTGCGTGGACAGGTTCGAATCCCACCTGGGGAACCTGGTCCTGGTTGCCCGGGAAACGGGAAGGCGGCATCGTCTCGTCCCAGGCTGGATTGTGTCCGGGGGGACGGCCTGTGGGGGTGGTTCCCTGCCTCCATTAGTAATAAAGGAAAGTTTCCATGGAAACGTTGGACGCTGTGTCCCTCAGCGATGCTCCACCCCAGCGTCGTAGGAGCCGTTCCGAGTTGGGCCTGGCCACGGCCTCGTGCCCACGAGCCTTTCCCCGACCCTCGCCGCATCCCGGTGCACACGAGCCCCTTCCCTGGGCCTCGCCACGGCCCCGTGTGCAAGAGCCCCTTTCCTTCTCCAGCCCGGGTTTCAGGGGCTGCGCCACCCTCTGCGAACCCCACACGGTCGTGACGTCCCTATACGTGGGAAAACACAGGCACAACCCTTAAAGAGGAGACCGACCCACCGACCCCGGAGGAAGCATAGACCTCGTCTACACAGCGGGATGCGCCGTGACGGGTGGGGTAATACTTGCTGCCCCTGCCACGCCCTTTTCTTAAGGCGGGTAGTCTAGGCTGGCCGCAAAGTCGTGGGCCCGTCTCCCGGGGGTCCCCACCAGGACCCGCCTGGCTCCGGGTCCCGGTGCTGAGTTGCAGCACCCACTGGGCCACACTGTTTAGACTTTTTTTTTTTTTTTCCTGGTCTTTTTGAGACAGGGTCTCCCTGTAGCCCCAGCTGTCCTGGAACTCACTATGTAGACCAGGCTGGCCTTGAACTCACAGGGATCCACCTGACAGCCTCCCAAGTGCTGGGGCTACAGGCATGCGCCACCACGCCCAGCTGGTTTGGAACTCACTGAGTAGCCCAGGCTGGCCCCAACCCCACAAAGAGCTGCCTGCCACCACCACCCCAGTGCTGGGATTGAAGGCTGAGTCCCCACGGCCGTGTAACTGGCATTTCATTTGGTTCTGGGTCGGGGTCCAGGTTGGGCTTTGAAACCCACACCTGCTCCACTCTGGGACCGGAAACACCACACACGCTTCCCGGACCCCAGGACACCCAGGTCCACACTGGTGGCTCCCAGTTTGAGGCCATTGAGTCGCTGCCACCAGCAGGTGGAGGATGTGAGCCAGATGGGCCCAGGCCAGCTGCCACTGCCCTGCTTGGCATGTGCACGGTGCTCCTGTGGCTGTGCGGTGCTGGTATTGTGCCCCGGGAAACCTGCTGTCCCCCGGGGTGATGAGTGGAGATGGTATGTGGCAAGACACACATGTAACTGACCTGCACAGGTGGTAGAACTGTTTCTCTAGGGGGGACGAAGGATTGAACTCTACAAGCTCCACCCCTGGCTGAGCCATCTTGTCTGGTGAACAGTGTCACGTCTGTGCTGACTCCTGGTGAGGATGGGGCTGGGGACACGGATGCCCTGCACACACTGTGACGTCCAAATAGGGGGTTGGGGACAGTCCGACTAGCCAGTGTCCTCAGCCTGGGTGCACCAGGCCAGTTTCTTACCATGATGATGGGAATGTTCCCAGTGTTTTGCACGGCTTGAGCATGTGTCATAGTAAACCTTGTGAATTTCACACGCTGAGCCTCCAGGACAAGCTCTGAGGTCAGTAGTGACAGCAGCAGGAGCCGAATTTCACAGGGAATGCACCATGGCAACCCTCTACGTGAGACACCCTGAACTGCCGGGGTCTCCAGGCTCCAGGGCCTGAACTATGGCCACGAGGCATCTGACCTGTGCCACCCAGGGCCAGGGGTCCCGAAGTCCCCACCCCTTCCCCATCTCCAGGTTCCCTCCCAGACCCCCACCAATCCCTCCCTGTCCCCACATCCCCTGTCCAGCCCCAGCAGAAATGGTGTCATTGTGGCCAGCGCCACAGTCCTTGTTCAAGGGTCAGAGCTTAAGACAATGCTCCACCGTCGAGTCAGGCGCCTAGGGCGTGGGCTTGCCGTATCCCGAGGTGCACCCCACCCCTGCCCCCTCCCTTCGAGGTTGGCAGCTGACCCCAGCTCTGTCCGCTGCATGTGGGAAGCATCTCGTACACTCCGACAGGAGCTGATGCCGGGTCATCAGTCACCGACCACAGCATCTGTGTCCCCAGGTGGGGTGGAGAGGCCACGTCTTGTGACGCTCAGCAGTGGCCTGCTGTGGGGCCGCTTCCTCGTCACGATAGAGCATGCCCTCGGGGACGTGGTGTCTGGGGAGACGGCAGCGGTGTGGGATCTCAAGGTGACCTGGTCATGCCCGCCGACCTACCTGTCTCTGTGGCCACTCTCTGTGGCTGGTCCCCCGGCCCCTCCCCAAATTGTGACTCTGACATCTGCCCTCAGTTCAGTGGTCCTCAGGGTGTATCCTGAGTCCATGAGTGACCCTGTCGTCATACACACGCCAAAGCCTTGGGTCTCGAGCCACTTGGACTTGTGCGGCTCCCCGTGGCTCATGGCCCCCAACGCACAACAGCAAAATGGGTGAAAATCTCTCAAATTCTTTATTCAAAAATACAAAGGTGAGGTCTGCCCACCACGGCCTCTGCCGACAGTCCTGTCCGTGGTGCCTGGCTGGCCCAGGTCCACCACGGGAGGCCGTGAGTCCAGGAGCCGGGCCACGCGCACCCACAGAGGCTGCACCCCAAATGCGGGACTCGAGTGGCCACCTGCCCAGCACAGGCCAGCACCCGAGCGGCTCTGTGGGCGGCCCTCGGTCCACAAGTGGCCTCTGACCACAGGGTTTGCGGCCATGTGGCCCACGTAGGCACAGGACGCGCCATCGAGGCGTCGGAGGATTCTGAGTCCAATAAATAAAAGCATCAGGGCACAGTGCCCATGGACAGCGGGAGCACGGCAGGCCTGCTGCGACCACCCCAGGCCATCCCCGGGTCACGGGCTCCTGTCCACGCGCGGTCACAGTGGCTGCAGGTCGTCGTCTCCACATGCAAACTCATAGAGCTCCACGTCACCCAGCGGGGACTCTGGGAACGGCCGCTGGGCCAGAGAGGAGCACAGGGCGCCTCGCTTCTGCTCCACGGGGCTCAGCTCCGCCTCGAACCTGCAGGATGGTGCCGGTGAGTGGGGGGGAGACGGGGACGGGGCATCACCCAAACGGTCAGCACATGGATACAGAGTCGGAGTCGACCCATCTGGCCATGACAGCCCCCGCCTCCTCACCCGTCTCCCCAGGGTTCCCCCGCGGCCTCCTCCGCCACCAGCAGGTCATACTCCTCTGCTGCGTACTTCTCCCAGTCTGAGAGCTCAGGGCCGTCGCTGTCGTTCTCCTGTGGGAGTAAATGTGTGGGGAGCACAGGAGGGACATGGGGGACATGGGGATGGGGAGCAAAGGAAGAGGGAGGACGGGGAGGTGAAGGTCACGGGGACTAGGAGCACATAGGCAGCCACAGGCCATGTCGCCCCCACATCCCGTTTTCTGTTCCTTCCGGTTCCCACACGTCTCTCTGCCCTAGGGCGGCCTGCCCCGGTGGGCTCCCACCCCCCTCCCCCTCACCGTCCCCCCTCACCCTCAGCAGGGCCGCCTGCTCGCGGTGCTCCTGGTCCAGGTACTTGTCGATGTTGAAGAACGTGTTGAAAAACACACCAGCTAGTTTGCACTGCTTCAGGTCCCGCAGTGTGATCTTGCCTGGAGGACAGATGGTGTCGGGGGGGGGGCTTGATGGTGGGGACCCCACCCCTCCCTGGGCCCCCGCCACAGCCAGTGACACGGCGGGGGGGGGGGGGGGGGGGGGCTTGAGGGGGGGGACCCCCCGCCTCCCTGGGCCCCCGCCACAGCCAGTGACACGGCGGGGGGGGGGGCACGACAGACAGATACAGACTGACCCCTGATGGCTGCCACGCCCAGCATGTTCCCCTGGTCTGTGGGACGACAGGACATGGCGAGGGATGCGGCCGTGGGCACAGTGTCCCCAGGACTGAGACCCAGGCCAGGGTCAGGGGCCACAGGATGTCGGATGTGGCCATGTGGGGGTCGTGCATATCTGGGAGATGAAGGCGGGGTGGCCCCAGGACACCCCACAAAGCACAAAGACTGTGGACTCCAAACACCATAACATCCTAGTGGACAGTCAAGGAGCGGCCTGATCACCTGACAGACCTGGACGGAGCTGGGGACACGCCACGACACAGGGCACTGTCCTGTCCATGCTGTCCCATGTCCTCCCCGTCCCACCCCAGGTCCCCACTGTCCCCCAGCCGCCATCACCTGGGCTGCACGGCTTGACGAGGTCGAGCATCTGGCACAGGCAGTCGTGGAACGGCAGCGGCTCGATGGCCATGGCATCCAGACGGCGGCTCTGCTCCTCGTAGAAGAACTCCAGCTCGAACATGGACAGCGCCCCGTCCCCGTCCAGGTCCATGCACCGGAACCAGTACTCGATGCTGCCCACGACCGCTCCGTCAGCTGGGTGAGCATGGGCCACGCCCCAGATCATGCAGAGTGGAGCCGACGGACACGGGATGGGCCGACCCCAGATCACACGGAACCCACAGGATGTGGGGACCCATCACCCCACCCGTTGACACACGCACCTGGTGGGCGTGGTCTTGTCCTCCTCAGAGATGAGGAACCACACAAAGTCTGCGTAGCTGATCTTCCCACCCTTCTGCACCTTACGGCCTCTGTGTCAGCAGGGACAGACACGTCACGGACATGTCAGGGGCCAGGCACTGAGGCCACCCACGGCTCCAAGTACAGACTGACGGGATGGCAGAGACACAGCCCAGGCTTCGGGGACACAGGACACGTGTCTACAGCCTGTGCTATATGTGACAGTGAAAAACACACCCAACACGGGACCAGAGTTAAAGAGATGGCAGCCATGACGGCCGTGAATGGCAGGTCTGTGTCAGCTGAGCCATGTCCTGCTGTCCCATGTCAGTGTGCGTGTGTCAACTGGGCCGTGTCCTGCCGTCTCGTGTCAGTCTGCAACCCTCCTAGGTGCTTTGCGCGGTACTAAGTGCCAGAGCTGTGAAGGACAGGGCCCCCGCGGGTCTGACTTCCCACAGTCCTGGACCCACCGCAGACCCGTCTACGCACCGTGTCACGGCTCCCGAGAAGATCCTGTCGATCATCTTCGTAGAAATGGCTGCAACAGAAAGCGTGGTCAGCAGAGGTGCCGGACGTGAGGCCCCAACCTAACCCGACACCCAGCATCGGCCCCCGGCTCCCCCTCCCCGCACCGTGGTCGCTGTGGCGCGCGAGGTCATCGGCGTCAATGAACAGGTCGTGATCAGTGTCGAGCTCCCAGAACTTGCAGTAGATGACATAGAAGTGCTCGTAGGAGAAGAACTCAGTCAGCTGGTTGATGTCGGGCTCTTCCTCCAGCAGAGCCACGTTCTGTGAACCGCAAAGGCCAGCTGCGACCGACCCACCACGCGGTGTCCAACCCCGCCACGCCGCCGGGCCAGGCCTGTGCGAGCCCTGTGAGTGCAGTCGGGCCCTGGGTGCGAGGTGGCCCTGAGAGCGCAGGGTTTGGGTTTGGCCCTGGGGCGGCTACCTGCAGGAACGTGCTCCTCCTCAGCTCTGTACACGTGATCCTGCCCGACCACGACCTGTTCACGGTGTAGAAGATCCGCTGGATGACCTGCGGGACAAGCCGGCTCACACCAGCCTGGGACTGGACAGCCTTAGCACCCCACGGAGCGGCAGGGACACACAGACACAGACGGAGCCAGGATGCGACACCCGGGCTGGGCTGGACCGGATGGCCGCACTGGATGGCCGTGGGGGGCTCACCACGTCCTACAGCAGGTGAGGCCGACCGCAGTTGCACACAGCTCGCACACGACAGCAACAGGGGAAAGCCAAGCCACTGTCAGGCACAGGCTGTTTACGTGTTGGGAATGTCCACGTGCCACACACCAGTGTGCAAGGGAAACACGTCACGCCTCCGGAGTCTTCCCACCCCGCGTCCTCCCCCGCGCCTTTGCAATGTTCCTGTCACCACCAAGGCCTGGACCCCAGCTGTCCCCCACCGTCTTGTCACGTGGCTCTGTGGCAGGGGGCGCGGGAAGCCCCTTAAGCTGACAGATGGCGGGACGTGGTGGCCGTGGCCGCAACTCACCGTGGTGATGTAGCGAGAGTGGAACTCAGATGCTTCCTTCAGGAAGGACAGGCCGGGGTGCGTGTTTACCACGTCCTGCGACACACACGGACACGCTCGCTGGGTCACACGGCCGACAGCCCGGAATGCAGAGTCGTCCGGCAGCCCAGGACCCCACAGGGCTCGGGCGCCAGTGACCGGTGAGCCCTCACGGGGCGCCGGCCGTGGGGCACGGGGACCTCCCGCCTCGCAGAGCGGCCAAGCGCACCGCGGACAACAGGCATCCCAGGACCCGTGTGTCTCCCGACCCAGGTGGCACGTGTGGTCCCAGCCCGGCCGCGTGCGTGTGCAGGGCGCTCACCTGCAGGAAGGGCACAAAGTCCTCCTGCACCAGGTAGTTGCACCCAGGGCTCATCAGCAGCTGCACAAACTTGGCCGCGTCGTCGTAACAGTTCTGCAGGACTCTGCAAGGGTAGGGTACAGACACACATCTCACACCGCGGTCCACATGCACGAGAGACTGTCCACACACATGCACACCACAGCCAGCCGTCCGCAGGCCAGGACACAGTTAATACGTCAGGGCTGAGAAAGGGTATGTGTCCATGGTCCTGCCTGCAGGCCCTGAGACAGTGGCTACAGGTTGAGAGCCTGGGCTGGACGCACCCAGGGCCAACTCACTTTCTCCACATGGCCACGAACTTGTGGACGGACACGGAGCCTGTGCGGTCTCCCCCAGCACCGTAGAAGAGCGGTCCCTTCCAGTACAGCGGGCAGCCACAGGCCTGTGTGTGGGAAAGACGCAGGCCGTGTGGACACAGCTGCACGCACCCCCGTGCATGGCCATGCACACACCACCACGCTCCCCGTGCGCAGACACATACTGTGCCCACACGGCCCACCATCCAGCATGACTCCTGGGGACCCGGGCAGCGCCTCGCTCTGCACCATCTGACACCCACCTTGGCCACGCTGCCCATGTCGTCCAGTGTGGCTCTCTCGTGGGGGAACTGGGCAAAGATGTGCTCGACCTTGGCGATGACAGCGTCGACGTTGACGGAGTCCTGCGGGCGTCCTCTTGGGAAGTAGAACGTGGGAATGCTCTGGCTCGTGGGCGGGGGCCGTGGCTCCTCCTTCCTTGTCTGAACCTGAAAGAGCAAAAGGAAGCTCAAAACGACTGGCACAACTGCGGGTTCCCTGGATAGACGGGACGGTGGCCATGGGCCCCGAGCTGTTGCCAGCACATGCAAAATTCAGAGCCACATGGGTTAGCTGTGCCTGGGCAGGGACATGATGATGTGGCCCCTGTGCTCTGATCTCACGTGAGGTCACAGGCCCACCTACACCGTGGGAACACAGCATGACGCTGGAACCCAGGAGGAACCGGGTCCACGGGGAACAGTGGCCACCCAGGTGAGGCCGAGGGCTCTGAGCAGGCTAAGAAGGGACCAGTCAAGGACTCAGGACCCCAAGACCCTGACCCCGAGCATGGACCCCGAGTGACAGGCAGACACACCCATGAACCAGGCAAGTCAGAGGGGACGAGCACAGAGCCGGATGCCAGGCAGAGCCGGGCCAGTCACCCCACAACGTGCCCTCCTCTCACGTGGCATCAGACACGGGTCACATGATGTCAGGTCCGTGTCCAGCACACGTGGACGGTCGGCGCAGAGGACACGCAAGCCCCGCTCTGTCCGGGCAGGTCAGGCATCTGTCCTTGCTGTGCAGCGTGTGCACCCATGACCGAGGCCCTGCTGTGCAGAGCTGCGCACAGGCACCTGTCATCTGGAGCACAGGGAATGTGCTGGAACTCCAGCTGGCTTCTACATGGGCTACAACAGCAGAGTTACTATGTGCCGACTGAATGAATGCACGACCAGCTGCCCCGAGAAAGGGATGAGTCCAGGCGTGTGTGTCCAGGAGTGTGATGAGTCCAGGTATGTGCCGTGTCCAGGTGTGTCCAGGAGTGTGGCGAGTCCAGGTGTGTGGTGAGTCCAGGTATGTGCCATGTCCAGGTGTGTCCAGGCATGTGTGTCCAGGAGTGTGGCGAGTCCAGGTGTATGCCATGTCCAGGTGTGTCCAGGCACGTGTATCCAGGAGTGTGACAAGTCCAGGGATCCACTGAGAAACCGTCCCCAGCCAGCGTCTGTGGAATCCGCAGGGTCCCGGCCTGGCTCTTACAAAGGCCAAGTTCTTTGGCCACTGCGCTGGCGTGAGGGACGAGGTGGGGGCACAGGGTCGAGCATCTGATTGGGTGTGCTGTTGCCGGCCGGCCATGCTGCCCCCAGGCAGGGACCCCAAAGCCTGCAGGCTGGTGGGATTTGGACCTGTGATGCAGCCAACGCAAAGCAGTGCCCTGAACCCGAGGTTTCTGTCAAGAGGCCGGACCCCGAACTTCAGCCATGGCCCCCGAGGGGGTTCAGATGATCTCATCGTGCCCAGCCCCAGAGCCCAGGACAGAAAGGCATCCGTGGATGAACCGGCTAGAGCCACGGAACCGACAGACCAGACGGGACTGGGCCTCAAGATTCTACAAACCTCAGCTAGAGACATAGCAATAGAAATGAGAGGCAGATGGGACTCGGCCTGCACAGTCAGCAGACACGGGACACAGCCTCACAGTCTCCCGTGGCCTCAGCAGATACAAAGAAGACACAGCTTGTGCACATTCGCATATAAACCTGTCCTGGGTCGTATCAAACAGCAGCCCAGAGCCAGGGCGCCAGAGGTAGCGGACGCTTGAGAATGCGTGTCCTTGCTCCGCCCGCAGCATCAAAAGACAAAGCCGAGCACATGAACAGGAGACTCAGAATGGGAACACAAGAACATGCTGTGGCTGGTCTGAGACCACGGGAAGCGCAGCTGACAACACATGAACAGAGACACGTCCAGGCCCGGCAAGGTGGCTCAGCAGTGAAGGTGCGTGCTGTCGAAGCGACGACCTGAGTTCCGTCCCCGGACCCACATGGGGAAGGACAGACCTTACATGCACCAAGCTGTCCTCGAAGCTCAGAAAATAAACATGTGTTGTAAAGGAGTCCGTCTACAGCACTGAGGACAGTGGATAGGGAGGCCTGCACATAGGACAGCCTGGGCTACAGAGTTCTGGTCCAGCCTGGGCTACGGAGGGAGTTCCGGTCCAGCCACGTCCAGGGCGTTCTGGACTCAGCCGAGGCCGGCCAGATGCCCACGGATATCAGAAATAGCCGAGGCCACTGCAGGAACCCCCCCTCCGGTCGCCCCGCCCCTCCCAGACACCAAACACCACGGCTGCATCTTGCTGGTCCGGAACAAGATTAACACGGGCATTTTTAGACCCATGAGCACAGGCGTGTTCATACAGCTGCCGGGGGACACTGAGGAGGCTCCGACAGACGGAAGCCGTGGGCCCGAGGACTGTGCACGGCACCGTGACAGGCAGAGATCGGACAAGACAGGCCGGCTGTTCCGTGAGGAGGTGCACGCACTAGGTCATGGCACGATAGATGGCACCGCAGGGCCCAGCACAGGAGGCCGCCCTGGGACAGCAGCACACGGAGCAGACATGGCCCTCTAGAGACAGACCGTCCTGGGAAGTGTACAGGATCAGTTTGCTGGCTCACGTCTGCAGCACAGCACGACCCCAACAAGAGATGCCGGCCCAGCACACTGACCCACAGGGCCAATGATGGGTGCGTGCGTGCACATGTGTGCATGTTTCTGAATATGCGTGTGTGCACTTTGGGTGCATGTGTCTGCATAAGTGGGACTGTGCATGTAAACGTGTGTACATGTGTGCAAACTACATGAGACCAGCCCTGTCAAATGTCACAACATGGCTCTGGCCCCCACTCCCCACTTCATCCCACAGAACATGAGCCGAGTAGAGTGTCGCCATAGCGTGGGTGAAGACAACACGGCCTTGCACGCGAGACTTGGGGGTCGGGGAAGGCTGGAGCACATGAGCCAAGCCGCGTGCAGGACAGCACACAGTGTCTCGTGATGGTGCACAGCAGGACACTCGCTCAGAACTTTCCTGCACTGGGGATGAGGAGCACAGAACACGGAGCTCAGCGCCACGTGCCGGGCTGGATGGTGCTCAGACTGTGTGGGCCTCGGGAGCGTGGGGGGGGGGTCACCCACGCAAGACCAGAACAGGGGACCGTCCTTCCTCACACGACCATGCACTGCCATAGTCCGCCACTGTCACCATCCTCCACCACAGTCCTGCCAGAGTACTCAGCACACAGCCCCCGAGTCTACATCCCCCACGTCCCCACGTCCACGTCCCCACATGCATGTCCGTGTCCCCACGACGTCCATGTCCCCACGTCCCTCCCCCCACACTCTGGCAGCAGCTGCTGAGAACTGTTTCCTGACACACACCCGCCCCTCAGAAGAATGCAGATTCCCAGCAGGTGCGCTGGCTTCAGAGGGGGATGCGGGGGAGTGCGTCCTAGGGAGCCTGTGCTTGGCAGTCAGCACCCAAAGCCCAGCACTCAGACTCCCGGTTCCTCTGCACAGTCAAGCACCCAGGACAGGACAAGACAGGCCGACGAGGATGGATGGGCAAGGGCTGGGACCCTGACAGGTGGAGGAGAGGAGAGGGGCGGGCCAGGCGGGGACGGTCGGGCACAGCTCCGTCTCCCCCGACAGTTGGCTCCTTTCAAGGGGGCACACGCAGCTGCCGCCCTGAGATCAAGCGGGGGCCGGGGTGCTGGACACAGTTACTGCCCACACGGGGTGCAGAAGTCCCCAGCAGCCAGGCCAGCACCAAGCTGCAGGATGGCGCCAGGAACACGCATGTGTGCGTGTGTGACACACAGGGGACACGGACGGAGGACACGGGGGGGGGGTATGCAGGGCACTGTCTCCCCTCCTCCAGGCGTCTCCCAGTGCCCCTTGGACGCCACACGGCCTGCGCTGCGACAGCCGCTGGGCCACAGGGACGGTGTCGGTCTCGGCCGCCGTCCCAGCCAATCTCACAACCGGCGAGGGGCACGTGGGTCACCCCCAGACCCAGGGCCAGCTCGACCCGCGGACACGGACACACGGGACGGACACACGGAGCACGACGGACGGACGAACAGGGCGACAGGCCGACCTGCTGGAACGCCTGCAGCCTCTTCTTGAAGCGAGACGGCAGCACGAAGTCACAGCCCCGGGCCAGCGCCGCCAGCTCCTGCCGCAGGTCGGGGTCCCGGCGCAGCGACTCGGGGCGCATCGGCCTGCGGGGCCCGGGCAGGACCAGGACGGGCAGGACGACGGGCAGGACGGGCCCCGGGCGCAGCGGGAGGCCGGGCTCGGTGCTCTCCATGCGGGCGGGGCGGTGGGAAGTGGTGGCTGCGGGCGGGCGGAGTGTGGCCGGGAGGGGGAGCACCGCCCCTCCCATGGGGACACGGCCCCTCCCGCCACAGCCCTCGGGGCCCTCCGCCCTGCGCTGCGCTGCCCCACCAGGTCGGCCTGGCCTTGCCGTCCACACCGCGGCCCTCACCGTGCACACCCCGGTCCTCCTGTCCCTCCCCGGCTCTGCGGCCCAGGGCAGGAAGGACAGGTCCCCGGCCGCCTGTCACGTGACGCCCCTCCCCCCAGCACACAGATAAGTCCTCTGAGGCCACCGGGAGGGAGAGCGTGCTCACTGCTCAGCCTGCAAGACAGGGATCCCAGGCCACGGGGACCCGGCCACAGCCTATGAACTTCGCCCGGTGGCAGCTTGTGGTCAGAGTCCCTGTGGCCTCCCTTCCCTGCGCGGAGTGCTGTGGCTGTCAGAACATAGGACACCAGCTGTGTCCCCGGCACAAAGATCAGAACACACCTGCACCTGTGCATACACCGCCTGCTCTAGTTTGTTCTTCATTGCTGTGACAAAACACTCTGACCACTACCAAGCTGGGGAGAAAAGGGTTTATTTAGCTCACATCTCCTGGGTCATCGGGAGCCCAAGGCAGGAACTCAGGGCAGGAACCTGGAGGCAGGAGCTGGAGCACAGGCCATGGAGGAATGCTGCTTACTGGCTTGCTCCCCTGGCCCCTGCTCAGCCTCCTTCCTTATGAACACAGGCCCACCTGCCCAGGAGTGTCACCACCACTCATCAAGAAGATGCCCCTCAGACATGACCACAGGCCAGTCCAATAGAGGCAATTCCCCAATTGAGGCTCCCTCAACCCAGGTGTGTCAAGTTGACACTAAAGCTATCCAACACAACTGACCCCTTGTCAACTTGACACACACACATCACTATTAAACCATAAGCTTTCCAATTCTTGTCCCCAAGATATGTTAACATTAGTATCACAACATAAGACAGTACAGCCTTAAAAACCCCACAGTCCTTAAAAAATCCCAACACTTAAAAGTCCATAGTCTCTTTTAAAAGTCTCTTAACTGCGGGCTTCTGTAATATCCAAAACAAGTACTGTCTTATTTCAAAGGGAAGAATCGGGCACACCTAAGCAAAGCCAAAGTCCAGCAAAGTAGCTCAAGGCTGGACATCTGGGATTCACTCACGATCTTCTGGCTCCAAAGGGTTCTGGCAGCTCCACTTCTCTGACTCTGCCGTCCACAGCACACACAGCTCATCTCACAGACCCAGGCCAGCTCCATTCCACACCTGCCGCTGTCCTTGGTGGTCGTCCCATGGTCCTGACATCTCCAAAAAGCCGGGGTCTCCACTGAAACTGAGGCTACACATTCACCAATGGTCTCTTCTGGCCTCTCCAGGTGCAAAGCCCCAGATTCTCTCCACAACCCCTTCAATCCTGTGGTCTTTGCTGCAACTGAAGCTGTTCTTTCACCTATGGCCTTCCCTGGCCTCTCAGAGTGCCAAGACTCAGCTGCTCTCTGTGACCCCCTTTACGCTTTCAACACCAGAACCACGCAGGAGACTCTTACTCATTACCAAGTCCTGCTTCCAGCTTGAACTGGAGGCTCAGGTCCCCTCTACTGACCCTGAGGAAATACATTCCAGAAGACTTCACCACACTGATGCAGGTCTGTTACTTACAGCTGATTTTTCAGACCCAGCTAACCAGCATCAATTGTCCCAGTAAAGCAAAGGTTTTGCTTCAGGTTCTGGTCTCTTCTTAATCACAGCTGATTCTTCAGCCCCAGCCGACCAGAACCCACAGATTCTCAATCCACAGCCCTGATAATCTCCGTTTCCCTTTGAAGCATCACAAGCCAGGCATCCGTCGTCTACAACTCTTTCAGCGTAATTGTTCCAAGCTCCACAGCAACAAACTCTGAGCACGCAATGGCTTTTCCAGCCCAAAGTTCCAAACACTTCCACAGTCCTCCCAAAAACACCAAGGTCAGGCCTGTCACAGCAATATCCCACTCTCTGGTACCAATTTCTTTCCCAGTTTGTTTCTCCACTGCTGTAACGAAACACTCTGACCACTAACCAACTTGGGGAGGAAAGGGTTTATTTAGCTCACATCTCCCAGGTCACAGTTCATCAGGGAGCCCAAGGTAGGAACTCAGGGCAGGACAATGGAGGCAGGAGCTGGAGCACAGACCATGGAGGAATGCTGCTCACCGAATTGTTCCCTGGCCCCTGCTCAGCCTGCTTTCTTATGCAACACAGGCCCACCTGCCCAGGGGTAGCATCACCTACAGTGGGCTGGGCCCTCCAACATCACTCATCAAGAAGATGCCCCTCAGACATGGCTACAGGCCAGTCCAACAGAGGCAACGCCCAATTGAGGCTCCCTCAACCCAGGTGTGTCAAGTTGACACTAAAGCTCTCCAGCACACCGCCCTATGATCTCACTGTCCCGTGGCCTCACACTGTCCGTGACCACACACTGTCCCGTGACCTCACACTGTCCCGTGACCTCACACTGTCCCCTGGCCTCACACTGTCCCGTGACCTCACACTGTCCCCTGGCCTCATACTGTCCTGTGGCTTCACACTGTCCCATGGCCTCACACTTTCTTGTGATATACCCATGAGACTCGGGGGGCAGGGGGCAGCGGCAGCACAACCGCCATGGAAGACAAGCAGGTGAGAACCCGAGAGGGAGGTCAGTGGGCACGTCTGTCGCGGATCCCGGATACCACGAGGAGTCCACAATCACCAAGAAACACGCTGAGAAAGCTCAGGGACCTGAGTACTGAGACCCAGGTACTGAGATGTGTGAACAGAGACCCGGGTACTGACACCTGTACCGAGAACTGGGTACAGGATGGTGCTGACTGAACACAGCACCTCCAGGTCTCCATGAACCCCAAGGTTAACGTCGCAGCTTCCAACACACCACCAGGAACATCACAGGACGCCACTTGATAGTTACACAGCTGCCCTGCACTCACAACCTCCCTGGAGCACCACCACAGACCGCGTAGATGCAGATCCTCCCGTGAGCACCATCACGTCACTTGTTGTCCACCATCACCTCTGTGCGCTGTCCCGTGGATCACCATCAGCCACAGTATGTTCAGACCGGACCCACCCACAGGACGCTGCTGCCCAGTTTTGAGACGACCGTTTCCACGCAGCAGAGCTCACAGAGACATCTGACACGCGTGGACGTCACGGCACGCGTGGTCGGGACCCAGGAGTGCAGTCAACGTAGCCACAGATACAACTCATGATGCCCGCCCTGAAAATGCTTCAGGCATGGACAAGGCGGGGCTGACCCCCGCTCTGAATCTCGGTCTACACAGCTACAACACAACATCTGTGCTGACCCCCCAGGCCTAGTCGAACGATGGGAACGGAGTAGCCAGCTCCACACTTGACAGCACTGGCTGTCGATGCAGAGGACTCAGTTCCATGCCCAGCACCCACAACCTGTGGAAGTCCAGCTCTACAGCACCCCACCTTGTGGCGGACTGCATGGGTGCTGCACGCTGAATGCCCATGCCCACACCTACCCGGCTATTCAACTCTAAACTACATCTTCAGAACTGGCTCAAAAGCAGATTTTGTTTTGCTTCCCCCAGGAGGTGGGATGTGCACGCAGCCCGGAGCTGCGCTGCACAAGATCCTAGCTGCCCTAGCTGGGTTGGACACGGTCCTCTCGAGGTACTGTCACTCGGGGCAGGTGCTGTGGAGAGTACAGGCGTGGAGGGACGTCTACACGACCTTGGCCGCGCGGCACACGGCCCTAGGAGTGTTGCACACGGTGCACTCTGGGTCCCGTCGCTAGGGGCAGGTCCTGTGCTGGGTGCTCGCGGAGTGGAGGGGCACTTACGAGCCGGGGCCCCGCGGACCTCCGGGCGGTCCGAGCGGGCCTGGGGCTGGCGGCGCCGAGGTGCAGCGCGGCTGCGGGGCTGGCGGGGGGCTCGGGCCTGCAATCCGGCCACAGCCGTTCGGCGCCGGCCTCGCGCTCGGGCGTCCGGATGCGCTGCAGGCTGAGCCGCAACATGCGCTGCGTGGCGGCGTCGCTGAGCCAGCACAGGAACAGCTCGTCCACCTTCATCTTCAGCACCGGCTGCAGCACCTTCCCGGGCGGCATGGCGGGAGAGGCGGACGGAGTCGGTCTCCTCGCTGGTCCCCGACGGCCGTGGGGAGGTGGCGGGAGGGCGGCTCTCCCGAGAACACGCCCGCGCCACTCCCAACAGCTTCAAAACGGCCGCGTCCGCCGGGCGGCCAAACATGGCGGCGCGCCGGTGGCGTCATCGGACCGCGCCGCGACGTCACGGCGCCGACCCTCCACTAGCCGCCAGCGCGCCGCGCTACGTCCCGAGCCTCAGTGGGCAGCGCTGAGGGACACCGGAACCCGGTTACGACCAGACGCGGGCCTCGGCGGCGCGGCCAGGCATCCGCCATGCTGCGTGGAGACGATTCGCCCCCGGCGCGGCGCCTGTGGGACGGCCGCGTAGATGTGCGCATGCGCGGGGAATGAATGCTGGACGCCTGTACATGCGCAGTCCTGGTCGCTGAAGGCGCTTTCCACAGACCTGGCAGTTGGAACGTACACCCTGTTGCGCAGGCCTGGCACTTGGCGTATGCACTGTGATATACACTGAAGCTGCCTTCCCAAAGCCTGCCTTTGAGCGTATATATAGTGCTATTCACTAAACACACGTTCCACGGGCCTGGCACTTGGCGCATGCGCAGAGCCAAGGCTGCCCATAGGAGGGAGAGGGCGGGGCCTTCGGGAGCGCATGCGCAATGGGTAGTATGGCCTGACGCGCCACGTTTGAATTTTCTTTTTTTTTTTTTTTTTTTTTTGAGGACGGGCCCCCCTGTTACCCCCAGCTGTCCTGAACCTCACTATGTAGCCCAGGCGGCCTTTGACCCCCCACCCGCCAGCCTCTGCCTCCCGAGTGCTGGGATTAAAGGCGTGCGCCACCACGCCCAGCTGAAGTTTCTTAATTAAATAACGTGCAAATGTAAAGTCCGCGGATCCCGGGATCGGTTCACGCCGGTTTTGCTAATGACGCAGTAGCCTCAGGCTGGAAGGTCCGTCCCGCGCGGGCTTGAAAACAGCGTGGACGGTCCGCGCTCGTGAGGAAGTTGTTTCGTTATCGGCGTCGGGCGCAGACACGGCAGCTCAGGTATCCATGGTTGCCAGTGTGCGGATTCCCGGCCGAGCGAGAGGAAAGGCAAGGCCACGCCCCTTCCGAAGGCCACGCCCCCCGCGAGCAAGGCCCTGCCCCTTCGCCGGCTAGGCCACGCCCCGTCCACTTTGTCAGCCCAGATGTCACCTGGCTGGGGGGAGAAACAGACTACAGAGAGACAGACAGACAGACAGGAGAGCGCGGCCTCTGGTGCAGCTCAGGAGCCCGGGTTTTATTGTCATTTATTTTCCTACTTGACGTGCGCGTCACTTGCCGTGTGCACCGAAGACGCAGCTCTGTGCAGTTTGAGCCCCTGGAGCTTTAAATAAACAACAGAGTCAGAAGTTAAAAATACCCGCGTGCACGGCCGGCCATGACCGAGCTATAAATACCCGGGAAAACTCCGGCCGGGATCGCGGGTCTCGGACCTCGGCTCTGCAAAGCATCGCGGGAACGTGTCCCCTAGGGAACCCGGGCTCGGGGAACCCGCGGCGCGACACACGCCAACCACGCGGGAATCCGTCCGTTCACGCGCGTCTCCTCCACAGTGTCCCGTGTAGCCCGGGCCTCAAATTCGCGGCAGCTCTCCTGCCTCAGTTTCCCCAGAGCCAGCGAATACCCAAGAGGGGACGGATGGTCACAGCGTCACCATGGTGACCGAGGGTCAGAGTTCCTGCCGGGACCAAGGACTGAGGAGGCCACACTGCGGACGGCAGGTCCCCAACACGACGTCACACTGTGCGCCACGTGTTCCCACATGAACACCACATGTCTCCCCTAACCCTAGCCCTGATCCACCCAATCACCCATCGATAATCCATCATCACCATCATCATCGTCACCTTCGCAATCACCACCGTCACCACCGTCATCACCATCATCACCACCGTCATCCCTATCAGCATCGTCATCATCGTCGTCCTACATCATACATCACACATCCGTGCAATGAAGCCGACCTACAGGCAGCACTGCACGTGTTACTTGGTGTCCACAGCACAGATGCTGTGTCCATGGGCTGCAGCTCCCGCTGCGGACGTTTCCCGTCCATCCGTGTCCGTCGTCACCCGCTGCCCGCCGTGTTTCTGTGTCCACTGACACTGCAGCGCGGGTTACAGCTTCGCTCCTTTTCCTGTCTGTGTAATATCCCACCGCGTAGCCCCATGTCTGTTGGTTCTTTTCCGTGCGGACATCGATGGGGTGACGGGTGCTGACTCAGCGGCTGACCGGGGGTCTGAAGGGGGGCCGTTGGGACCCCGCAGGGACACGACTTCTAGACTGTGTCTGGGGTGAGGAGTACTGGGCAGGGAGGTTTAGTGCTGGGTAGTGTGGGTTTAGTGCTGGGTGACGAGAGGCCCAAAGTCAGCCACGCTGTGGTGTGCACAGAGCAGGACTTACAGTAACAGGACCCGCGGAGGGGCGCGGGGTGATGACGTCATGTGACAACTGCGGGGGCGGGGGCGCTCCCAGGGCTGGGAGCAGCTGCTACCTAAGAATAGACCCGGATGTACATTCCAGAGCACACACTGCGGGGTCGGCCCGAGGTCGGGGGAGGGTGCTGGGGACACGGTGCGGGGAGTGTGGGAACTCGGTCTCGGGGTTCAGCCTGCTAGACAGGAGGCAGACAAAACAGATGGGAAGAGCACTGTGCACAGCACTGCCTGGAGAAAGCCGGCACTGTGCACAGCACTCCGTCCTTCCCGCTGCATCCTGTCCTTCAGCTTCGGACCTCAAAAGCATCAGGACGGAGACAGAAGCCCGAAAGCCCGGGGTCCACTTCCGGTCCCGCCGCACAAAGTGCACTCACCTAGTCACTCAGCCATCAGCACTCATTAAGTGCTATCACCTAGTCATTCAGCTGCACTACTCACTGAATGCAGTCACCTAGTCACTCAGCCATCAGCACTCAGTACACTCACCTAGTCAGTCATGAGCACCCACTAAGTGCCATCACCTAGTCACTCGGCTATTAGCACTCACTGCACTCACCCACTCAGCCGTCGGCACTCAGTACACTCACCTAGTCACTCAGCCATCAGCACTCACTCACCTCGTCAGTCATGAGCACCCACTAAGTGCCATCACCTAGTCACACAGCCATCAGCACTCACTTCAGTCCCCTAGTCACTCAGCCATGAGCTTTGTGCGTCTGTGACTCGGCGCAGACCCTTCCCTGCCTGTCGGGAGACCCCGTTTGCGCACGGCTCCTTCCCACGTTCAGGCAGGTCTTGGGGTTCCGATCCTCTCCGCGGTGGGCCCTGTACACCGTCCGGGGTCTGATTCCTGAGGATTTGCTCAGTGACGTCCTCGGGAAACCTTTGCACACGGATCGGCCATGCGGTGGCGCTCGGACCCCGGACTCGACCTCCCGCCGCGCGTCTGTAGCGGGTTTGTCCACCGCGGCCTGGGAACCGTTCAGAAATGTGTGCAGACCTGACCTGGAACCGGCGCAGCCCGGTGAGGCTGGCGGTGTCAGGACTCGCGTAGCCCATCCCACACGGCGGGCCTGAGGCCAGCCACTGTAAGCTGTTGGAGCAGACAGGTCAGCGTGGGAAACAGAAACGAAAACTGCAGACACTGTCCGTTGGTACAGTGGAATACTACTGAGCTCTGAAAACAGGAAAAGTCACTATGAGGAGAGCCATAAACCTTAAAATCGGGAGGTGTGGTTTGTTTGTACTGTGGCCTGTTATGAAACCCTGAAAGAGACCGACGCCATCCTCTGCAGGGGCCTCAAGGATTCAAGGCGCTGTCCTACCCTGTGACGTCAGCACGTGGTTCCTACGCTGGTTTCCACCCGATACTGAGCCCTGACACACGTCTCTCAAAAGATCCAGAATCCAGTCAGGGGTGACCAATCTATTCCCGACCCGACCGGTGTCCAGGCGCCAGGAGCTTCGTCAATCGTGGATCGCGTTGGGAACCCGGAGCCGTGTGCAAAATGGGGAAACTGAGTCGGAGCGGGGCCCAGGGGCAGGCACCCGGGGTTCCTGTGCAAACGGTGAAACTGAGTGAGGGCGGGCGCGAAGTTGGGAGCCTGGGAGGAGGAACACGGGGTCGTGTGCAGAATGGGGAAAATTGAGTTGGGGGGACACTCGGAGCTGTGCGCAAAATGGGGAAACAGAGTCAGGGCGGAGCCTGGGGTCGGGGACCGAGGGTTCATGTGCAAAACGGGGAAACTGAGTCAGGGTGGGGCGCAGGGGGGTGACTCGGAGCCGTGAGGAAAATGGTGAAACTGAGTCAGGCGGGGGCGACGTGGGGGACGGGGGAGGGGACCCGGAGCCAGGCGCA